AAGCCCTGTCGCCTGGACTTCCTGAAGGAACCCCATTCGAGGCATTTATTCAAGAGACAGGAAAACGTATCAGACAAAACCCGTCCATTCAAGAATATGCATTGCAGATCATTCATAACAGCCCCAAATTGGTAACGTCCTCAGGAAATCGGACAAACTGTGGCCAGCGTGCGCCACAGGCATCGCTCTACATCCTATCAGGAGGGGGAAGCCAGGCAGTCATTTGATTAGGGAAGTTTCATATAAAGGATCATTAACCATAACAGGAGATGGAATTAACAAGAAATTGGCTAGAAAGAAGGAAAGGGAACTCTGAAGAATATAGATTTGGGAGATCAAAGGATCCACTCCTGCCCCCAGGGCTGAAAGAGACCCTCAGAGGCAAGAGCCCCCCTCCACCCAGTGCTGAGCTAGAGTATCAAACAAACAACACTCTCCCCATGGCTGACGTCCAGCCCTCAAGGCAGAGGCTTCCACTCCAGTACTACGGCAGAGCCCCCAAAGAACAGCCCCTCAGCCTGAGCTGAGAGAGTGCCCAAGGAGGAGCCCCCACCCACAAACAAGCATCCTCCCACGAACACCCCTGAGGGCTGATATCCAGGCCTTGCTGAAGAGGGGATAGCGGTGCCTCACTACATGGGGGAAAAATAGTTGGTCTGATGCACACCACCACAGCTGGCAAGAAAGCCAACCTGTAGAACTTACCAGAAATCTGCCCCGCAGGGTGCCACAAAAGCTGCTTACAGGAGGTGTCTCACCAGAGGCACCCACTACAAAACTGCCTCAAAGGAGGTGCTGTTGGCCTCTGCTGAATGCTGCAGGTGCAGGTGCAGCAAGAGCAGGCCCCGTGAGCAAGTGGCAACCAGAAAACGGAAAGTCCCTGCTGCCGAAGCTCCCCAGCGCCCTCTACTGGCAAAGCCCAGCTTGCTGCCTGGACAGGGAGAAAATTTAAAAGGGCCCAGATCCATTTTCAACCCACAGGCAAGAAGGATGAACTGGGCACAGAAAAGCAATAATTAATAAGCAGAAAAGCCCACCTCTTTGACTACTTGGTTTCCATATAAATTCTCCTGCATACCAGTGAAGTCCTGTACAACAAAACTGTGTATTTCTATTTAAAATGATAAAGCTATCATTCTTAAAAGTTCTCACTCACTCCACAAAACAAGGAGACTAATAGGCCCAGGAGTCATCTCCGACTCTATTTATTGCTACTTAAATACTGATCACAGTTCCATGGAACATTCTGTCACCTAAAGACTATAAAGCTGACTTCCAAAAACTTGCATATAAAACAAAAATGGGAAGAAGAGAGAAGAAAATGGATAGTTACCAAGTGTGTTTACTCTCATTGTTTATTCAGGAGCTCAGAAAATAATCTCAGGGTGAGCATGGACCAAGAAAATCTACTGAGTCAGACTACAGCTAAGACTCTACCCCTGGCTATCATAAGCCCCACTTTGACTTATGAGCCAGAGTGGCATTTTAGATCCCCAGGAATCAGCATCAGTTCAGAGTGAGTGCCAAGTAACTCCAGAACTGTCTGGGTACTTCCATTGCCCCATTATTTTGTTAAATGGTCATAGGTCCCTTTGGAGGAAGGTCTGAAGGAAGATTTACAGTAAGTATTTATGGAAATGAGGCAGGCTCCTTCCTCAAGGGGATCTGGCTACCCAGAGATTCTGGGTCTGTGAATTGACTTAGGGTCTGGAAACTGGATGAGAACCCATGACTGTCAATTGCCAGGTTTTGGCTACCAGGCCTAGAACTTTCTGTCACATATAAATGTAAATGAAATAATACTCTAGTAGGCTGCCCGTTTATTTCACTCCCAGAAACACTCTGATCAATTCACCACCACTAAAAGTCCCTATGGGCAAAGGCATTCTGAGTGCCCATACATTCCTGCTACTCTTTCCAATGTGTGCCCACCTTGTCCTTGACAGTGAAGTACTGCCCCTGGGTCTCTATTTCAGGACCACCCCCCCCCCCATTCCACTGAAATCAGGGAGGCCATTTCAATGGAGGCAGCCTCTGTATTCACAGTGGCCTACAAAAGAAAGTGACCACTGTGCATTTCAAGGACAAAGGGGCTCCCTCACTAAGGGATCTCTCTCTCTGTCTCTGTCTTCAGGTCCTTGAGAAATATAGGTGGTGGCAGCAGGGGAGTGCAGATTAGACAAGATACATGTGGTCCAACATTGCTGTCTCCCCAAGCCTTTGGATTCCCTCTTCCACATCATGACATCACAACCCTCATTAACTGCAGGTGACGGTCAAGTCCAAGTTTCAGTCAACCAACCAAGCTGTTAGAGCCACTTCCAGCTGCACAAACTAACAGCCAAATTCAGAACCTCTAACAAGTGCACCCCTAACAATGCATTCAGCCCAGTCTCGTGTTACATTCTGCCTTCCTAGATCTCAAGCCCTTAGAATCCACTCCCATACACGTCACCAGTCTTGTTCTTTTTCTGTTTCCTCCTAGATCCATGTGTACCCATCACCATGGAACATGCTGAGATTTGACCACAGCTAGGGTCCAATGAAAACAAAGGGTGGCTGAGTTGAGTCTTGAGAATGGGCACTGCCTTTCAAGGCATCTGCTCCAGCCGAGATTACCACAGGGTTTCTTAATAGAGGAAGAACAGTCTCCTCAGACCCTGGCGGTGGCGGGGGTGGGGGGTGGGGGGGGCAAGCTTAAAAAGGTTTCCACTTAAAAAGGTTGAGGGGGGCTCAGACACAGGGTGACTTGCCGTTTAGATCATCAGTTTCATCAGAGTCCAACAAATGTCCCCACTCCGTGTTTCAGGACCCCATTCTTTCTCAATTCATGCCCTAATTTGTCCAGATGTGATTCCAACTGTTTTCATAATTCAGTAACCAGCACAAGTAAATTTTTTGTTTGATTTTGAGCAATATCAGCCCTGTGGCTGCAAGAAATAAGAGCTTCCTTAAGCGCTACCATGAAAGCTGTCTGATTCTCAGCCTGTGGCTCGAGGGGAGAGTTAATGGACCTGGGCTTGTCATTTTCTCTGTCATTATCTACAAATTTTTCAAATTTTTGTCATGTTATTATTTTTTTAGAGATAGGGTCTTGCTCTGTCACCTGGCTAGAATGCAGTGGTGCAATCATAGCTTACTGCATCTTTGAACTTCTGGACTCAAGGAATCCACCGGCCTCAGCCTCCCAAAGTGCTGGGATTAAAGGCCTGAGCCACCACACCTGTGCCTAGCCTGTCTATACATTTTCTAAATAAAGCATTGTATCTGGTTCCCTGAAGACAGGAGCCATCAAAAGGATTCACCCCACCCCACAGTTCTCACAGTCCTCATTATGGCCACACAGCCAAGTGCAGCATCACTCTGGCTCCCAAGGGACATGCCTCAGGTGGCATTTTGTCTTAATCAACCATGAGTGATAGATAACCTTTTTTTTTTTTTTTTTTTTTTGAGACGGGGCAATGGCAATCTCGGCTCACGGCAACCTCCGCCTCCTGGGTTCAGGTGATTCTCCTGCCTCAGCCTCTTGAATAGCTGGGATTACAGGCACGCGCCACCATGCCCAGCTAATTTTTTGTATTTTTTAGTAGCAACAGGGTTTCACCATGTTAACCAGGATGGTCTCCATCTCTTGACCTCGTGATCCACCCGCCTCGGCCTCCCAAAGTGCTGGGATCACAAGCGTGAGCCACCACACCCGGCCTAGACTGATTACTTTTAATGTCACCACATACTTTGGATAACTAGCACGCCATTTCCCATTGGCAAGGAAACTGACACCACACTCAAGCCCAAAATCACCAGAAAACCAATCCCCAAATGGCACCGCTGTGGGTCCATCGCCTGATACCTGTTCCTGACACCAATTCTGTGTCAGTTTGGGTCCAGTCAAGGAAAGGAAATTATACAGTGATTTTTACAGGGTTAAGTTTCCTATGAAGAATTATTAACTTATAATAGAGGACCGAATTAATAAGAAATTGACTGATAAAGAGTAAGGAGAATGATAACTAATACAGGAACAGCAGACCCAAGGAGCAACCAAAACCACAGAGCTGAGATGGAGCCTCCCAAGACCAGAACCCATCCCAGGGCTATGATAAGCAACCCCTGCTAGGAACCCTCCACAGCAGATCTGGATAAAGCCCTCAAGGAAGAACCCCCCAAGGCTAAGATAGAGTCCCCAAGAAAGAGCTCCTGAGAGCTTTCATAGGGTCCCCAAAGATGAGCCCCCTACCAGAGGTTAAAAGAATATTCCCAAGAAGAGGCTCCCAGGGCTGAGGCACAGCTCCTAGGAAGAGCCCCTATTCAACGGATAACAGACAGTCCCAAAGAAGAGCTCCCAGAGCTACCAAGGAAGGCCCCCTCCCCACCAAGGGCTATGATTGATCCCCCAAGGAAGAGTCCTCTCTTAGGACTGTAATAAAGTCCACAAGGAAAGTCTCTCAGGGCTGTGGTAGAGTCCCCAAGAAACAGCCTCCCCCGACCTGTGGCTGAGACAACGTCCTCAAAAAAAGAGCCCTCCCTGGGCTGAGGTGGAGCCCCCAAGGAACAGCCCCCCCAACCCCAGGACTGAGATAGAGCCCCTTAAAGAGATTCCTACCTCAGGCTGAGATAGAGACCCCAAGAAAGAGCCTCTCATCCCAGGGAAGGGACCCACCACCAGGCTGAGATAACCCCCCTCCAGGAGGTGCCCCCACCAGGGACTAAGCTAGGACCCCCAAGGAAGAACCCGCCACCCCACACAGCTAAGGTATAGTCGCTATGGAAGAGTCTCCTCCAAAGGCTGAAATTAAGTCCCTAAGGAAAAGCCCTTGGGCTGAGGTAGAGCCTGTCTCCCCCCACCCCAACACACACAAAGAAGTGCCCCACACACACCCCTGGGGGCCGACATCCAGGCCTTGCTGAAGAGGGCATGGCTGCACCTCACTGCAAGGAAAAAAAAAATGGCAGGCGCCATGCCAGCCAAAGTTATCAGAAATTCAAACTGTAGGACTTACCAGAAATCTGCCCTGTAAGATGCCACAAAAGCTGCTCAGAAGCAGTGTCTCACAAGAGGACCCACTGCAAAACTACTTGAAAGGGGTGTTGTGGGAGCTGCTGACCTACCACCGCTGAGCACTGCAAGAGCCTGCACAGAGCACGGCAAGTGATGATGGCGCCTGCACGGAGCGGCTGCACGTGGTGATGGCGCCTACCATGTGAGCACGTGGCAAGCGAACCTCCCTGCTGCTAGAGCTCCCCAGCGCCCCCTACTTGTAAAGTCCAGAATGCCTGCTGACCAGGGAGAAAATGTAAACGGCCCAGATCCATTTTCACCAAGCAGGCAAGAAGGATGAACGTGGAGCTGAGAGGCAATAATTTGATAACCAGCACCAATTAAATATCAGTAGTGAAAAAGAAAAAAAAACTACTGATACATAAAACAACATGCATTCATCATATACATATTATGCTGAGTAAAAGAAACCAGACACAAAGCAGCACAATCTGTAAGTTTCCGTTAATATTATGAACAAAAGTTCTCTGAAAAGGAGTTTGGAGGAAAGAGATTTTAGTCCAGAAAACCATTTGCAAACTTGCAGATGCACCCTCCACTGGAAAATGAAGGGGAGTTTCCAAGAACCAGGGAAGGATCAGTTTTTATAGCAAAAGTTCCTGCCCAGGTTCCCAATCAGATCAAGTTGTGCAAATGAAGGATTGAAACTTGCTTAGTTCTGATTGGTCAATACAGCTGAGCTCTGATTGGTTAATACAGCCAAGCCCTCATTGGCTGATACACTTGGGCCCTGATTGGTTGGTTCAGGTGAGCTGGTACAGTACCAAAGATAAAAAGGTGCAGGTTTGTGCTGGGCACAGTGGCTTACGCCTGTAATCCCGGCACTTTGGGAGGCCAAGGTGGGTGGATCACCTGATGTCGGGAGTTTGAGACCAGCATGACCAACATGGAGAAACCCCCGTCTCTACTAAAAATACAAAATTAGCTGGGCATGGTGGTGCATGCCTGTAGTCCCAGCTGTTGGGGAGGCTGAAGCAGGAGAATCACTTGAACTGCGGAGGTGGCGGTTGTGGTGAGCCGAGATTCCACCATTGCACTCTAGCATGGGCAACAAGAGTGAAACTCCGTCTCAAAAAGAAATTTTTAAAGGTGCAGGTTTTTAGGGGAACTCAGGGTACTTGTCTGAACCCTAGTCAGCAGATGGCTGCTTCACTCTATTTTAAATTTAAGCTCACTTAGCCATTCTGATTTGTATGTTGCCCAGGCTGGTCTTAAACTCAGGGGCTCAAGTGATCCACCCACCTTAGCCTCCCACAGTGCTGGGTTTATAGGCAAGAGCCACAAAGCCTGGCCCACTTAGCCACTCAGGGTCTGTCTTGAAGGTCTGGCTCTTTGAGGTTCACATTTGTTCACAATATGAAGTTCAAAAACAAACAAAGCAAGCTACAGTGACAGAAACTAAGAAAAAAAAAACAGATGAAGGAAGAGTATTTTGCTGGAAGGGGCACAATGGAATTTTCTAGGACAATAAAAATTCTATTGCAATTGGGGTGCTGTATACATTTGTAAAAATTCATCATACTGAACACTAGGATCTGTGTGTTGTATTGTAGATAAATTATACCTCACTTTTTAAAACTTAGCCACCAAACTTGGTTTCAGATCCAGTCACTGTGTACCACCTGTACACAGTGAGTAATATGGTTTGGCGGGTGGACCACGAGGTCAAGAGATCGAGACCATCCTGGTCAACATGGTGAAACCCTGTCTCTACTAAAAATACAAAAAATTAGCTGGGCATGGTGGCTCGTGCCTGTAATCCCAGCTACTCAGGAGGCTGAGGCTCTGAAGAATTGCCTGAACCCAGAAGGCGGAGGTTGCAGTGAGCCGAGATCACACCATTGCACTCCAGCCTGGGTAACAAGAGCGAAACTCCATCTCAAAAAAAAATATGGTTTGACTTCGTTTCCCCACTCAAATCTCACCTTGAATTTTAATAATCCCCATGTGCCAAAGGTGGGGCCAGGTGGAGATCATTGAATCATGGGGGCTGTTTCCCCATACTGTTCTCATGATAGTGAATAAGTGTCACAAGAGCTGATGGTTTTATAAATGGGAGGCTTTTGCCTGCCACCATGTAAGACTCGACTTTGCCCCTCCTTTGCCTTCAGCCTTGGTTGCGAGGCCTCCCCAGCCATGTGGAACTGTGAGTCCACTAAACCTGTTTCCTTTATAAATTACTCAGCCTTGGGTCTGTCTTTATTAGCAGCATGAGAACAGACTAATACAGTAGGTAAACAAATATTGCTGAATAAAGAAATGCACACATGAATCACATTCTTTTTGTTTGGTCTCCTCACATCAAGTGAGGTTCCCCAAATTTCTCAGCTATTGGCCTGCTTTTCTGGGCTCCCATCAAACTCTCCTCTTAGTCCCGTTGTGCCTTTTATTACACTAATGTTAGCCTCAGAGAGGCAAAAATCTCTGGTTCTACCAGAGGACACAGCATGTCTTGAGTGCTCTGTGCCTGCCACTCTTTTTAGGACTCTCATATGACAATAATCTATGTGATAATTGCTCCTGTCATCCCCATTTTACAGATGAAGAAACTGAAGTATAGTTTGTCCCAGGGCCCACACTCTTTATCACTTTGTCTTTGAAGTCAGACTGTCCTAGGTTCAAATCTCAGCTCTTCCACTTACTGACCATGGGTCTTGGGCAGGACAGCTGATTGATGCAGGGCGGGCAAGCCCCAAAGCAGAGCTTAGGCCATGAGGGTTGTTGGCTTCCCCCAGGAAAAAAATCAAGGGTTAGAAGAAAGCAGAACTTTACTGAAGAGCCACTGTTACAGCTCTGGTCTTTGACTGCTCCTACAGAGGAGGGCTACCCCATAGGCAGAGCAGCAGCTCAGGGCAGTCTCACAGTCATATTTATACCTATGTTTAATTGCATGGAGATTAAGTGGTGGTTTATACAGAAATTGCTAGGAAAAGGGTGGTAACTTTTGGGTCGTCAGGTCATTGCCACGGAAAGGGGTAGTAACTCCTGCATGTTGCCATGGCAATGGAAAACTGACATGGCCCACTGGTGGGTGTGTCTTATAGAAAGCCGCTTTGTTCCCCTCTGTATTAGCTAGTCTTCCATTTGGTCTGGTGCCCAAGCCCCACATCCAGAGTCAAGTCCTGCCTCTTATCTCATGATCACTCTGAAGCTTGCTCTACCCATCTTTGAAATGGGGATGATAATATTTTCCTCTTGGGTTGTCTTGAGGTACAAATGAGCTTATCCACATAGAATTTTTAGCACAGTGTCCAGCCCAGAACAGCCGCTTACCTTGAGTAAATGACAGATTTCATTCATTCCAAGACACACATTTTCACATCTCTGAAATCAAAATGTCAAAATGGCATCTCATAATCTCCTAGGACAGTTGGCGGTTGTCATTGTCCCTGCAAGAGCAAACCTGGTTCAAACTGTTCCTATTGCTGACACTTCCATGCCTCAGCATCAGATAGCTCTCTCAGTAAGAATAAAATAAAAATATGATGGGCTAGGAAAGCATCGTGCCATACTTTCGTTCGCAGCCACTTTTCTTTCTTAGTGGTACATAAATTAATGGTGTGCCTTGCAGTTGATTTTCCTAGATTTGATAGAGTGCAGTACAATATTCTCATCGTAAGTCTGCAGTCCACACTATGGGTGATTGGATTATTGTTGCCTATTCTTCCTGCCTCCCTGTTAGAGAATTAGGCATCTCTGCTTTTGCTATGTGATTTTGCTGTGCTTCACATCAGAATAGGCAAAGCGCATTTCCCCCACCCACTGATGATGGAAGCCTTGCACACATAGCCCGCCTCACTATGTGAGTGGCAGGGCAGTACTCCAGTTCCAAGATGAACCCTTAGGAGATGTTGGATATTCCTGCTCAGTCATGAAAGAAGGCCCTGAGTTTGTTTTTGCTTTTGTTTTCCACTAGTACAAGGATAATGAGAGACAGGCAAAGCCGACCTGGCCGACCTGCAGCCTGAAGTGGAACTACCCCAGCTGACCCAGCCAGCTGGAAACAAGAAGGCTAATTGAGATATGGGGGCTGGGGGCTTTTTGTTATGGGACATTAGCATAGCAGCAATAGCTAATACACTCACTAAACTGCAGGTGTTTTAAGGGCAAGGCTCATGGCTGGTTTATCTCCATATCCCCAGCATCTAGACTGGTACCTGGACACAGTGGGTGTAGAAGGCACAGGGAGATGCCATGGAAAAAGGCAGTCTTTGGAATCACACAGATTGGGTTCAAGTCTCAGCACTGCCACAGAAAAGCTGGGTGACCTTGGGCAGTCCTCTGGATTTCCCAAGCCTCAGTTTCTTCATCTGTAAAATGGGGAATCCTGTATCACAGGAGTGATTAGAAGGGAAGTGAAGAATGGGCAGGGGCCTCGCTCAATCCCTTGCAGCAGGCGCCACAGATGCACACTGGTTCCCGTACCGTGGTAGATGTTTGTGATGTAATACATGACCAAATCCCCTGTAACCCATTTCTGTACCCCCAGATCTGCCAGAAAACTCTCTTCCAGATGTTCCTGGCACATGGCAGCAGGTTCAGTGGGGAGGGAATATCCCTGGGATGGAAGGTCTGGCAGGAGCCATAAGAGGCAGTTGCCAAGCCGCTTCCAGCAGCCCAGGCCCCCAGGGGCCATTTTGCCAGTTCTATTTCCAACCCGCCTGGCAGCTAGGTGCCTGGGTTGGTGCCAGGCTCAAACTTGGCAGACTTTGTGCTCCCCCAGAATTTTCCACCCCAGTTACTCTCTTTGAAAAGGCAAAGATGGAGAAAATAGCAGAGGAGAGGGCTGCCTATCTGTCCCAGGGAGGGGGCAAGAGTGACCCAGCTGTCATGACAGGAGTTCTGCCAGCCACAGGGGCCAATACGCACGGGAGCTTTTCTGCCCAGCACATCCTGGTCCACCTACCATGGGCCCCACCCTGGGACAGTGTTCAGCAAGAAGGCCTGGATTCCAGCCCTGGCTTTGCCATAGTCTGCAGTGTGGCCTGGGCAGGTCTCTTAACCTCTCTGTGCCTCCATTTCCTTGTCTTTGCAATGGGTAATATCTAGACAGTCTCCATGGCTTGGGTCCCAGGCTCATCTGAAAACCTGATGGAAGCCATGGATTGAAAACAATGCATTCATTTCAGCAGTCCAGGGCCT